ATTGCGCCTACTATAATCAACCAGGGAGAAAATATAGAATGAGCATGAGGTAATAATTCCATATTGATCCGAACCAACCCATATGCTCCCATTTTTAATAAAATTCCGGCTAGAAGCATACAAGTACTATAATGTGCCTCTCCATGGGTGTCTGGTAACCATGTATGTAAGGGTATAATCGGTAATTTAACAGCAAAAGCAATAAAAAATCCAATATAGAATATTATTTCCAGTCCCACCGGATACGATTGATTAGCTAATGTTTCCAAATTTAATATTGGTTCGTTGGAACCATATAAACCAATACCCAGAACCCCTATTAATAGAAAAATGGAACCTCCCGCAGTGTACAAAATAAATTTTGTAGCGGAATACAGACGTTTCTTTCCCCCCCACATCAATAGAAGTAGATAAATGGGAATTAATTCTAACTCCCACATAATGAAAAAAAGTAAAAGGTCTCGAGAAGAAAATGATCCTATTTGACCGCTGTACATTGCTAACATCAGGAAATGGAATAATCGGGAATCTCGAGTAACTGGCCGAGCCGCTAAAGTAGCTAAAGTGGTGATAAATCCCGTCAGTAAAATAGGTCCTATAGAAAGTCCATCTATTCCCAATCTCCAGTAAAAATAAAAAAAATTAATCCATTTATAATCCTCTGTTAGTTGGGTTAATGGATCGTTCAATTGGAAATGATAACAGAATGTATAGGTAGTTAAAAGGAGCTCTAAAATAGATATGCATATAGTATACCACCTTATTACCTTATTTCCTCTATGAGGTAGAAAGAAAATTAAAGAACCTGCGAATATCGGCAAAAGTACAATTATTGTTAACCAAGGAAAATAATTCGTGGTAAAGACAAGATACACTTGGACAAAAAAAACCCGTACTCGATAAAGAAAAAAGAATAATATATTATCTATTTTGAGCACGGGTTTTTGTCGGTAAAAAAAAATCAATTGTATTCAAAATGTATTTACGTGGTTTTTTCCGGAACGTATTAATACGCTAGACCCATGCTTCGAGTTGTTTCATGCCATAAATAAACTCGAACGCTCAAAAAATCCGTTGGACAGGCGGATTCACATCTCTTACAACCGACACAGTCCTCTGTTCTTGGAGCAGAAGCAATTTGCTTAGCTTTACATCCATCCCACGGTATCATTTCTAATACATCTGTTGGGCAGGCTCGCACACATTGAGTACATCCTATACATGTATCATAAATCTTTACTGAATGTGACATCGGATCTATAAGTTTTTGAATGTCATCAATTTTCAATCTAGTAAACTTGTAAATGTATCATATATTTAGACACTAGATGAATCAATGGATTTTAACATAATTTTTCTAATCAATCGAATTCCGGATCGAGTAATGAGATCGGCCCAAGATGCTTTGATTTCTTACGTTTTTATCAAACCTGCGTATTATACATGCTAATTTGAATTGATGAATATTCTAATTTCTATAATTAATAATATATAAATATAATTAATTAATACTACTTATTTATTCATTTATTTAACAAATTCGATTGATTGATACGAGTTGATTTTCTGTTACGATAAATTGACGAAACAATAGCTAACCCAATAGCTGCTTCGGCGGCTGCAATAGCTATAACAAAAATGGAGAAAATATCTCCTTTTAATTGTCGACTATCAAAAAAATCTGAAAATGTTACGAAATTTATATTAACCGCATTGAGGATAAGTTCAAGACACATAAGGGCCCTAACCATATTTCGACTCGTGATCAATCCATAGATACCAATAGAAAATAAATAGGCACTCAAAACAAGTACATGTTCGAGTATCATTGACCAGCTCCTTATTAATTTTGATTCATTTCAATATGAACAAGAATTCAACTTATTGAATTGACTATAATATAACAAGTACAAAACAAAGGAATAGATTGATATTTGGTAATGTATCAAAATAAAGAATTTATATTTTATACATGAACAGTTTTCAAATAGAATTGAATAGAAATGGATTTGATAACAGAAAACAAAGTTGAATTTTGATTGCTATTAATAGTTATAAAGATTTATCATTGACGAGCAACAGCAATTGCACCTATCAAAGCAACTAAAAGAATTATGGAAATGAGTTCAAATGGAAGAAAAAAATCTGTTGATAAATGAATTCCGATTTGTTGACTATTACCTATCAAATCTTGCTCGATAATCTGGTTTGACTTTGTCGTCCAGATAATCCCGTACCAAGACGTATCTAAAATAGTAGTCATTAGTGAAACAAAAATACTTGTACAAACCAACGAAGTAATCCCATCTCCAACAGTCCAAAGATTCAAATCTTTGTAATATTCTGAACCATTCATGAACATCACAGCAAATAGAATTAAAACGTTTATAGCTCCTACATAAATAAGGAGCTGCGCAGCCGCTACAAAGTGGGAGTTTGATAGAATATAAAATAAGGATATACAAACAAGAACCAATCCCAAGGAAAAGGCAGAATAAATTGGATTGGTAAGTAATACCACTCCTAGACTTCCTAATATAAGACCTGATCCCAGAAAAACTAAAAGAAAATCATGTATTGGTCCAGGCAAATCCATTATTATATGTAAAAGAGAAATAAATTGAAATGTTTTTCATGATTTTATTGACCCGACAAGGAATTTTTTTAGGATATGCTCCTAATTTCATTTAATTCAAATCGAATGGATTTAAAATGGGTCTAGGTCCAATTAGTGGACCAATATAATATGGTTTTCTCTTTACCCAAAAGATTTACACCAAAGAAAAGGGTAATTTAGCTCAAAACTCAAATTATATTATTAGATTCCATTTTCAATCCAACTTTAATCGCACTTCTTGCCAACGAATCAACAGTTAATTGGAATTTCTAGTTATTAACTAACAAAAAAAAATAAAGAACTCATTCCTGTAGATTAGATCAAATTGAACCTTACTAATTGGTGGAGATTCCTCTTTAATCAAAGGGTTTTAACATTTTTTTTTTTATTTTTGAGGCGAATTCGAAATTGTTCGAATTGTATAATCGTTAATTACTGACATTGGTAAACGACCCAAAGCGATTTGATTATAATTCAATTCGTGACGATCATAAGTAGAAAGTTCATATTCTTCAGTCATTGATAAACAATTTGTTGGACAATACTCAACACAGTTACCACAAAAAATACAAATTCCGAAATCAATACTGTAATTAAGCAAGCGTTTCTTTCGTATACCAGTTTCCAATTTCCAATCAACAACAGGTAGATCTATAGGACATACACGAACACATACTTCACAAGCAATGCATTTATCAAATTCAAAATGGATTCGGCCGCGGAAACGCTCGGATGTAATTAATTTTTCATAAGGATATTGAATAGTTACAGGTAAACGATTTGCGTGGGATAAGGTAATGATGAACCCTTGACCAATGTACCTTGCAGCTCGTACTGTTTGTTGACCGTAATTCATGAACCCAGTTACCATAGGGAACATATCGTAAAGATCTATGAATAATTTTATGTTTGTTTCTTTCTCTTGTTTGCTATTTGAGAGAAGTCGTAAATCTAGAATATCCTATTCCTTTTTCTTTCCTTTACAATGAAAGGAGTTGGAAAGAAGTTGTTAATAATAGATTACCGAGAGAAATGGGTAAAAGAAATTTCCATCCAAGATTTAATAATTGGTCTATTCTTAGTCTAGGTAAAGTCCATCTTGTTGTGATAGAAATAAACAAGAACAAATAAGTTTTAGCTAATGTAATAAAAATACCAATTGTCGTTCCAAAGACGCTACCTACTTTATTTATTTCAAATAGCTCAGAAACGAATATGTAAGGAATAGAGATATTCCAACCTCCTAAGTAAAGAACTGTTACAAATAACGAAGAAACTAATAGATTTAGATAGGAAGCAACGTAAAATAACCCAAATTTGATACCCGAATATTCGGTTTGATAACCTGCTACTAATTCTTCCTCTGCTTCTGGTAAATCAAAAGGTAATCTCTCAGATTCTGCTAGGGAAGAAATTAGAAAAATGAAAAACCCTATAGGTTGACGCCACAAATTCCATCCCCAAAAACCATATTTGGACTGGGCCTCAACTATATCAACTGTACTTGAACTGTTAGATAATCATAGTCGATGATAACATCACTGTTCCCATCGCTATTCCAGAACCGTACGTGAGATTTTCACCTCATACGGCTCCTCGAGGGCCATCAATAAATCTAAGGACCGAATTGATATTATTTATATTGATATGTTTGTAGTATAATAAATACTATATATCGATTCGAAATGAAATATATATTCTATATAGATAGAGTCAAAACCTATCGGAAGGTCCTGAATTAGACCAATGGAATTCTGTCTGCTATAATAATAACTAAAAAAGCACTTCTGAATTGATCTCATCCTTTAATAATTTGAATTTTTATTTGTTGAGTAATAACTTAATCCTTCAATAAAATACTCTTTGTAGAAATAGCAATAGATATTTCAACCCATTCTTTTTGATTACGAAAAAAAAATTATACATTAGTTCCTGAATAATGCCACGTTATCCCTATTAATAGAGGAAATAAGAAAAAGATCTTTTTTTTTCGTTCCTATTCTTCTTTTTGAAAAAAAATAAGGGGGGGTTTCAAAAAAAGGATTATTTCGTTCCTGATAGTCATTTTTGAATCTGTGGATAGGAGTATACTCTGAATCGGAATCGTGGGTAGTACTGCTTGATCATTTCTACTAACTTAAAGCCCCAATTACTATTCTTTTTATGTTATGTAAAAATTCCTTTTGGATAATTTACATAAAAAATCTCCATTACTAATCCTTTATGTATTTTGGTGTTCCTAACCATCCACTGATTTTTGCTCAATCACCCGTTATGGTAATACATAGAAACGATAGTGAAAACTCTATGTGGTTGATCTTTTGAGTTGAACCCGCTTCAAGCCAGGATGACTAATCAACCAATCTTGGGGTAAAAGTCTTGCTTCTATTTACTTTTTTTTTATTCTTGTACGTAGGAAATGAGACTCAATCTTTTTACTGCTAATTTCTAAGCTGTTTTCTTTCACTCATACAACTATCTGATTTAGGTCATCAAACTGAATGATGAATAAAAAAAGGAGATATCTATTCAATTTCTTTTCGAAAAAGAAAGGAATAAAGAAAAGTTTCTGTTTTAACGAATCGCACGTAGAGATATTGATAACACACAAAGGGTTAATGGTATTTCATAACTAATCGATTGAGCAGCGGCTCGTAGACCACCTAAAAAAGAATATTTATTATTTGATCCATATCCTGACATAAGGAGTCCAATAGGAGCAATACTGGAAATGGCAATCCATAAAAAAACACCGATATTGAGATCAGATAAAACAAGGTGATAACTAAAAGGAATTACTGAATAACTTAGTAAAATTGATATAACTGCTATGGATGGTCCTATACTGAATAAACGAGTATCTCCTCTAGATGGAAAAAGATTCTCTTTGAAAATAAGTTTTGTCCCATCTGCTAAAGCTTGAAGAATTCCCCAAGGACCGGCGTATTCGGGACCAATACGTTGTTGTATTCCTGCAGATATTTCTCTTTCTAACCACACAATTACGAGTACACCTATTGTGATTCCCAATACAAGAGTCAAAATAGGGAAAAACATCCCTATGATTCCATAGACTTCTTTTAAAGATTCCAATCTAGAAAAAGAATTTATATCTTGTACTTCTGTTGTATCAATTATCATTTTAACGATCAACTTCTCCCATAATGATATCTATGCTACCTAGTATTGTCATAATATCGGCCAATTTCATTCTTTTAACTAACTGAGGAAGAATTTGCAAATTGATAAAACCAGGTGGACGAATTTTCCACCTCCAAGGAAAACCACTCTGATCTCCTATTAAAAAAATTCCCAATTCTCCCTTTGGGGCTTCAACTCTTACATAAAGTTCTTGCTTCGGTAATTCAAAAGTAGGAGAAGGTTTTTTACTAATGAATCGATATTCAAAATCATTCCATTCTGGATCCCTTTCTCTAGCAAAGAATCGGGTTTCTAAATTCTCATAGGGTCCCCCTGGAATTCCTTCCAGAGCCTGTTGAATAATTTTTATCGATTCCCTCATTTCAGCGATTCGGACTAAATAGCGAGCTAATGAATCTCCTTCTTTTTGCCAATGGATTTCCCAATCCAATTCGTCGTAACATTCATAATGATCAACTTTACGAAGATCCCATTGGATTCCGGAAGCTCGTAGCATTGGTCCCGATAAACCCCAATTTATTGCTTCTTCTGGACCAATAATGCCTACCCCCTCAACTCGTTCTAAAAAAATAGGATTTCGCATAATAAGTTTTTGATATTCAGAAACCGCTGTTAAAAAATAATCACAGAAATCCAAACATTTATCTATCCATCCATAAGGTAGATCGGCCGCTACTCCTCCGATACGAAAATAATTATGCATCATTCTCATACCGGTGGAAGCTTCGAATAGATCATATACTAATTCTCTTTCTCTGAAAATATAGAAAAAAGGAGTCTGTGCACCAATATCTGCCATAAAGGGGCCAAGCCATAACAGATGAGAAGCTATACGACTCAACTCTAACATAATTACTCTGATATAACTGGCTCTCTTAGGTACTTGAATGTTTCCCAACTGTTCTGGTCCATTTACGGTTATTGCTTCTGTGAACATAGTAGCTAAATAATCCCAACGTGTTACATAAGGCAGATATTGTATAACTGTTCGATTTTCCGCAATTTTTTCCATTCCTCTGTGTAAATAACCCAATATTGGTTCACAATCAATAACATCTTCGCCATCTAGAGTAAGGATGAGCCGAAGAACACCATGCATTGATGGGTGGTGAGGTCCCATATTGACTATCATGAGGTCTTTTCTTGTAGTTGTTACATTCATAGGTTATTCCTCGATTCATTCTTTCATGAATTGCTGAAAATGAAAAGAAGTTCATTAAAATTCAAGATCTAATAAAAAAATAAAATAATTCAAATTCCTTTTTCAATTAACGAGTTTTTGATTCCCGAATATCCAGCTGACTAATTAATTCTTTATAACGTACTCTATTTTTCTTTGACAAATAAGAGAGCAGTCGTTGGCGTTTTCCCAGGATTTTACGTAGACCTCTCTGAGATAAATAGTCTTTTCTGTGCAATTCCAAATGTGAAGTCAGTCTTCGTATCTTATTGGTGAAATGAAATACTTGAAATTCAACGGACCCCCTGTTTTCTTCTTTTTCTTCTTGTGAAATAACTGAAATGAATGAATTTTTTACCATAAAACGGATTTTCTATCCTCTTTTTTTTTAATGGATTTTACTGATCAGTAAGAATAATGCTAGTCATTTTAATTTGGTATACACAATAATCTTAATTTCTTTATGAACTCCTAATTTTATCAAATAAAATTAATCAATCCAATTTTCTTTTCAATTTTATTCGTATAGGAATAGGAATATGAAAATTCGTATAGGAATAGGAAAGGATGATATATTTCTACATTTAGAAAAGATACAAAATTTTGTAATAATAAAATAAAATAAAAAATAAGAAGATTCCGTTAATCATTTATAGATCTATTGGATATTGATACATGCATTGAATTCGTAGTCATGTATCAGACTGGAAGGTAAGACAATACATGGGTGCAACTATTTGTTTCATATACCATACATATATGGTACAGAATATATATGAAAAACGCATAATTAACAAATTTGCAATCGTGGATACATATTTATCCTTATCATACTGAAGCGGCTCCCATTATTGGTATCAAACCAATATCGATTCATACAAGATAAATCTTCTAATTGAGAATTAGGCCAAAGAACGAACTTTAATTTAATTAGTTTCTTTTTATCAAAATGTTTTCTTTTATCCAAAACAAAGTTTTTTACGTTGTTGCAAAATACTGGATTTTTATGAATACCATCTCTCTTCCGTGAATTGAAACAAATTAGAATTCTTAATTCTTTACGTCCTTTAGTGGATAAAACTTTTTCGGGAACAAAGAACAAATCATAATGATTTTTGTATCTATTTTCAGCCATTCTTTGATGTCTTTCAATGGATTTATCCAAATTAATCTTAGCAATATAGCTTTTTTCTCGGTATCTTTGATTAATTTGGGGCTTACTCTTATGAACCAATGAAATATTTAGACTTTGGTACATAATAAATTGTCCGTCATTTTTTATAGACAAACGAACTGGTTCGATAATTAATATACCCTTTTTCATTAATTCTGTAAGAGTTAAATCCTTTTGAATCATCAGAATATCTAAACTCATTTCTCCCCTTTGAATAGAGGATATAGCAATTTCTCTTGGATTTATCAGTCTAAGTAGGAGACAATATACTTTGATATTATTGATCATTCTTTGATTTAAAGAATCATCCCATCTCAATTGAAAACGTAAATACCTTTTTAGGAAGAAATCAAGTTCTGCTTCCGTGTTGCTCTTATATTGCTTTTTCTTTATACGTTTTTTCATATCTGAGCTTGCATAATCTTCTTCAATAGCTTTTTCTTGGTTTGAGAGAAGTGATCCAAGGTTCGCTTGATTTTGTGCATCTGATTCAAGATTATCTCGACTTGCGGATTCTTTTTCTTCTTGATTTCGATTCTCTAATTCAATCGATTTTTTTTCATTCGAAAATAGAAAAAGATTCCTTTTGTTCTTTCTAGTGATGTTTTTATTTTCACTACCATTTTCATTAAAATTTAAAAGAAGTAGTTGGATTGGTATGATCCACGGTCTCATAATATATGTATTATAAAGCAGCACAAATTCTGGAAAGAACCAAAGTTTCAGATTCGATATGGGACGACTTAGTATTTCTTCATTCATTCCGATCCAATCAAAAAGGTCTTTTTTTTTGTTGGATGCCGTAATTCCTCTATTTTGGGAAATTTTAAGATAAAAAAGACCTTTTTGATCCATTTTATCAATTATTTGATAATTATTAATCCCAGTCTTAGTATTTTTATTACCATTGGTATCGATATCGATCCAGGACTCAATATCGACTTTATTTCGAAGACAAAAATCGAAAATTCTCCAATCAAAATATTTTCTATCTGTAAATTTATCCAGATTCATAATAGCATCATCTTCTAAATTAATAGGAATAATACCTCCTGTCATATCAACGAATTTACCCTTTTTATATATCTTATTGTAATTATAACAAATCTCTTGTTTATTATTTAAACGTAATGGTGATACAGAAATATGTGAATCCTTCTTATTTTCATAATTAATCGATTTATATGAAAAAAGGTCATATTTATAGTATTGTTGAAAGTTATATTTTGAATTTGATTCAAAATCATTTAATTTTTTGTAATTAATTAATATTAATCGATCTTTTTCATCTGAATGCTTTTTGTTTAAATCTTTATTTTGCACTATACGGGTTTGATTGAATCTATTTCGCCATTTGTGTGGTACTAATCGATACCATCTAATCGGAGATAAATCATATTGATAATGAACCCTTAACCAGTTTTTCCATTGAATCATTCCCGAATTCCAAATATTTTTATGTTTTAATTCAGAATGAAAAATTCCTTGTGTTTCAAAATAATCCTTTATTTTATTCTTAAGAAAAAGAGATGTTCCGTGATATTGATATTGAAGGACATATCTTAACTTATACAAGTTACGAATTTGCGTTTGATATAATTGGTAAAATACATATGCTTGTGAGAATGAGGATAAAAAAATCTTTGATTTTTTATTACTAATATCCGAAATTGATTTTTTTATAGTCCAAATAAAACGAATTGTATTTTTATTTCTTTTATCAAATTTTTCTTTATTTCTTTCATTATTGTAAATGTATTTATCAATCATTTTTTTTGAATTATCAAAAAAAAGTTGTGTAGTGATCCTCGGAATATTAATGATACAGAGAAGGATATCTATGTATATCCTTTCAATTAAAAATTTGAAAAAAGAATATGATTTGTGGATTAATCGAACATTTCTTCTTTTTAATTTCTTTAATTTCTGCCAAATATTTTTTATTGATGCTAATAGTTTAGTAGGATAACTTCTTTTATTATAACTAATATTTATATTGATTTCCGGAGTTAAAAATCCTTTCTTCTTATCTTTTGTAATTTTTTCTATTTGATTCCTGATTGTGCTGGTTCTATCATCCAGATCTTTCATTTTTTTTTCTGTCAAATTCATAAATAGAATTTGAATGGACGATTCATTAATCATCCCATTACTGATTATCCCATCTTTTTCTTTTTTAGTTTCACTCAATTCATATATTTCTCTTAATCCAAATAATTGAATTGGGTTTCTTTTTGAAAGTTCTTTTATTATTCCTTTTAAAAATAGAATGTTTTTCATGACCCATTTTTTTCTTTCTTTTGAAAGGTTTAAAAAAAAATGGATTCTTTCTTTTAAAACCTGTATAACTAAAAAAGAATTCTTTTGCAATTTGATAATCTTTTTTCTGAGTTCTTTAAAAATGGGTTCAAAAAATGAACGTTGTTTTCTGGGAGAACCAAAAGGAAGTTCAGTTTCCATTCCCCAAACTGTTAAAAAACAAAAATCGTTTTTTTGCCCTTTATTTCTCAGCGGATCTTTCTGGGGGGGTGACACCTTAGATCTGTGCCAAGGTTTAAGGCAAAAAGGAAATAGGATCTTTATCTGAATACCGTCTGTCAACCAATTTTTTGGAAATTCGGTTTCTGATAATTGAACACCATTATAGGTGCATTTAACATGCATTTCTCTATTCCAATCTTTTAAGTCCTCGGACCCCTCGGGAAATTGAAATAATAACATACGGGCTATATTTTTAGCTATTATCACTGAAGGGAATAGAATATATTTTCTAAGAAAAGATTGGGTTACTAATAGGGATCCTCTTATTACTTGAGCAAATAAAATGCTATCCCAGGCTTCCGCTATTTCTATTCGTGCTTTCTCTTCTCTTTTGTATTCTTCTCTTTTTTCTTCCTCTTTTTTTTTCTCACTTTCTTTTGTCTTTTCCTCCGTATAATCCGAAATTCTTAATTCTGTTGTTTTTTTATACATCCAGTTTTTCAAAATGAATTTTATCATCCCGGAGATATCAAAAGAAAAAAGGGGTTTGTCTATTCTGTCCAAAAAAAGAGTAGAATGCACATTTGCTTGAAACAATTCACAAGTAACTGTTTTACGTCTTTGAGCACGCATAGAGCCTTTGATTATGTCTCGACGAAAATCCGATTGTTGTGAATAACGTATCAAAGCCACTTCGTCGGCTTGATCAGGATTATTAGTATTTTTGCTATTAGCATCAGTATTTTGATGGTTATCAGTAAAAATCACTACACGTTTGGCTTTTCTGGAACGAATCTGATGATCCTCTGCCACGTTTTCTTCGTTTTCTCCCTCCTGTTGTTCCAAATCGTTGATTAATTTGTATGACCACGGAGGAACTTTTTTACTTATTTCTTTTATTCCAATAGATTTTTTTTTAATTCTTTTAGTCTTGGGCTCAGTTATAACTGCGTTGAAGAAAATTTTCAAAATTTTTATTTGATCTTCTGAATTAATTCTTCCTTGTTCAGTTTCTGGAAATGGAAATAAATAAAGTTTTTTTTCTGTTGATAATGAATTTCTATCAAATGCATCTATTTGTTTTTCCAAGTTTTCCTGATCAGTATTAAAAAGTATAACATGAATCTTATTTATCCAACCTGTCTCGATGTAATTTTTTATAGAAATTTTATTTAGGATTGGGGATGAAAAAAAAGATTTGACCCTTCCACGACAGGGCCCTTTCAAAAAAGGATCATATATTTTAGGCAAGTATTCTTTTTTATTTTCATCATTACACAATCTAGTTCTTTTTTCGAGTACATCTAGAGTAATGGATCCTTTATTTCGAGTTTCCATTCGATTTCTAAATTCTTTGCTCAAGTTGTTCTTTTTTTGTTCATTGGTATAAATCCAATGATCATACAATTCATCAGAGGGTAGTTTTTCTCTTGTCAACAAAGAAATTTTTTTTTGTATCATTTCCAAGAAAGTTGACAAACTGGGGGGGTACGCAAAAGATATTCTTTCTTTTCCATTGTTTCGACATGTATAAAAAAAATATTGTGACATTTCATTTCTTACGGCATTTTCAAATTGATTGTTTTTTATATATCGCAATGGACGATTCCATCGTTTATAGTCGAAAAGAAGAGTCACAAGAGGTTTTTCAAACCATAATAAAAATGGATCTTCTTGAAATATTTCTAATTTCGAATTCTCTTTATTTTTATTCCGATCCATATAAGAAGTTTTATAAACTTGGCTATCTTTATAGAATGTCTCTTGAAAGTTGAATTCATCCCTTGTTTTTTCCTTTCCATTCACTCGGATCTCTTCTCTTTCATCGATTTTGTCCGGATCCTCCTTTTCTTCCGAAAAAAGGGAAGGAGAAGGATCTTCTTCAA